GTTTGACTGCAGAAATATTAAGAGAAATAATTGCTTTTTCTTTTAAGAAAACGTAATGTCAGAAAAAATATATAGCACCCCAGATAATTTCAAATTTGATACATAGATCTGCTGACAGAAACTTTTGTCTCTGTCACCGTTAGTTCAGGTCTCATTAGTTTGTAGCAATAGTTATGATTTTTAACACGAATGAGAATCACTTTACACTTGCTCTTGCTGAATGACATTTGCTATTTTGATGCCCGCTCCCCTAATTTGCAGAAATCCCTTTGGAGCTCTTCACAGTTCCTTATTGTTTTACCATTATGAACAATTTAGTGGCATCAGCAAACCTGACTATTTCACTAGTCATATCCAGTTCCAGATATTTTATAAATGCATTAAAAAGCACCAATCCTAAGGTACAGGAATCCTGGCAGAACCAACTGGCTACATATCTCCTTTGTGATAAATTTTATTCCTTATCTTTCTGTTCTATTCTTTAACCCACTGTTCATCCACAAGAGGACCTGCCCTTTTATTCCATTGTTTAGGACTAGTGATCGAAAACTGTTAAGATCATGGGAATGCTGGTTCTATTGATAAGGATGAATTGGGTAAGTGGAGTGATGGTAAATAGTTGCTCTTCCTCATCAGAGATAAGAGGGTTCTGCAAGCCTTTGCACTGACAGTACCATATTTTTTGGAGTATAAGACACACCTTTTTCCTTTAAAAAGAGGCTTAAAATCTGGGTGCGTCTTATACATTGAATACAGCATTTTTTGCCTCCCCAAACCCCGCCACCTTCACTAAAATGGCCATGCAGTCTCTAGGAAGCATTTAGAGAGCAGAAATGAGCAAAAAACGGTCCATTTTTGGTTCAATTTTGCTCCTCCCCCCAGCTCCCAGCAGCACTCTATAAGCTACTTAAAGGCTATGCATGCTTTTTTCCCCCAAAAAATCAGGCCGTTGTGAAAAACGGGTCGTTTTTGCTTCCCCCTAAAGCTATTCATGCCTTTTGGGGGGGAAAAACAGGCCCGTTTTCACGAAAAATGGGCCATTTTTGGGAGGTTTGTAGAGTGCAAATTTTTTTTTTTAAATTTTCCTCTTCAAAACCTGGCTGCATCTTATACTCCGGTGCGTCTTATACTCCAAAAAATACGGTAATTAGGTTTTAGACATCTACTGGCCTGAATGAGAGCAGGATCTGACTGGAAGAAGAGGAGAATGCATAATGAGTATTGAGTTTGGGTGGTAGCTTGTAATGATATGTGGGAATGAGCTTGGGAGGCAGTAGGATGGGCTGTAAATCTGGTTTTTGAAGTTGTTGTTGCTTCTGAAGTCAATCCTCTATATGAGTTTAGACAGAAATTTCTAAAAGAAAATTTGAAGCATTTTTGCCAAGTGTAGTAAAATGTACAAATACAAAATAGTTCAAGGAAATTGAGCTATACCATCAATATGTGTGTACTTAGGAAACCACTTGCCTTTCCTGCTAGGACTTTTTGTTTTTCTTGGATTCTTTTTTTCAGGACCAAGCTTCTGTGGTGTATCTGATTTCAAACTTTTACATGCCCTATCGCTTTCATCTTCTTGGAAGCAGGATAAATAGTCTCCACTGTCTTCGTTATTATTAATGCTGTCCTGCTCAACTCTTCCCATTGTATTACGAGAGTTTTTCAGAGTATTCTTCTTCTTCTTCTTACTGTTACACTGATTTTCATTTTCATCTGGAGAAGAAGCCAAGCAAGATTTGATCCTTTCTTCCTGTATATCAGTATGAAGTACATCTTGTAAATTTAAATGAAGATCATTTGTAGGAGATTCCCTATCATCCATTATAGTGAACTTTATTTCCACTTTGTCCAAATAACTCTCAGCACTAAAAACAAAGTAAAACAGTGATGTTAATAATGTATCTTCACTACTAACCTTTGCTAAGATTGTGGAATGGAGTGAGCTTTCTACCATTATAGATAGGTAGCATTTCACAGTTGTGAAATACAATAATCAGATTCTATAAATATGAAATAGCATTGTCTTGAAAAAATAGTTATTTCAAAGAAAATGGCTTAAAACTCATATATCTACTGATGTGCATTTGTGAAAGTCAGAGTGTTATAATTAGCCAAACACAAACACTGAGAATCTAATATTTAACAAGATGTTTAAACAAAGAAAAGCTTACATTATAATTAGAATAATTGCCTTGCTAGTTCTTACATTAAGCAATTAATTATCCATCTGAGATGCACTTTGTAAACCTTGTAAACTCCACATCTTTTATGATGTAACTTTCATGTCCTTTCTGAAATGGGGGAAAATTAAGTAGAAATACTTAAATATTTGCATTTCAAAGATGAAATCTGGCAGGACTGTTTAAATGAGCATTGATGATTAAAATAATGGAACACATGATAAATTTGAAAGTTAAATTATTTTCACTATGATAAGAGATATGACTTGAACTGTTTTCAAATTAAAGTCACTAATTTCATAGTACAAATACTTCCAGTCATAAATAGGAGAAGATTGTTCATATATTATTTATTGACTCCTATCAAATTAAGTTCCCAACCTTTTAAGTTCAGAAACAGGAGAGTACAGTAGTAAGAGCTAAATTACCTGCTGCTGTTAAATCAAGTTTCTTTGGGGTTCAGCTCAAGTCTTGGCAACTTCATAGGTATTCCATATGTTTTCTGAGCAAAAAGACAAAATTGATTTGCTATTGGTTTCTTCCAGGTTGTTAAATTGTGCATGTTTTTGATTCATAAAAGGTAAAGTTATTTGAATCATATTTGGTTTCTGATGAGTACATTGACATGTCCATGTTCTTTTCCTGGCAATAATACAGAAATGGTTTGTCACTGCCTTGTTCTGCAATGTTGTTGTTTTTTACTTCCCTGCCTAGCCTACAGCTCTGGCATTTCCTGATGGATTTCTCATCTAAGTAGCAACCAGGCCACATCCTGTTTAGCTGCCAAGCCCAGACAAGGTAGGCCAGTAGAGTTATAAAAATGTAGCATTATAGCAACATACACAGAGTAATACTAGATGTGAGACACTGTGGGAGGCTGGGAAAATAATGGAAAGTTGACATAAACAGTCAAGAGATGGGAGGCGAGTTCATTGGTAGCTGACAAGAAACAGGGAAAAACCATTTCAAAGAGACTTTGCCTTAATGATTACACTATAAATGCAGGTTAGAAATTTATAGTTTTCAAGACAAAAATTAACTATCAAATCCCACATTGCTAGATAAAATCAAAGAAGTACAAAATATTTAGTAAAGGTGACTTGGGTAAATACCAATTTTGGAAAACTATAGCCAACATGGAAATGCTAAACCAGTTATTAATTTCATTACTGAGTTATTCTGATAATTATTTTGTAGTAATATTTCCTTACCCACCTGTATTCAGACTGAAAAGGTAAAATGCTTTAAAAAAATAATTGACCATACTCCATATGGTACTTTCTATTCTCCAGTGCACTGCTCAGAGAGTCCAATGCTGGGTTAACACAGCCTATCTGCCCTTGGACTGAGTGATGTTTTTCTGTTGACCACGCCTCTCTTTGCCTCTGCATGCTCAGTTTGAAAACTCAGTCCGCCCGTTGGGACTGTTTTGGGTGTGCTCCAGTCTGAGGTCAGATAGGCTGGACGTTTCCCACATTGGACCATGTTTATATATTCTGTGATTGAAGAATTATACAGTCGTTGGAAGGACTGTCAGAATTTAAATTTAGATCCTCTGGCGAATTTAAATCCTCTGAAGGTTTGTGTCGCGTTGAGAGGGCACCCGGGCTTCCCCTGCAGCAGCTGGTCGCAAGCGCTCCAGGGGCCTGGACCCCCGCCCAGCGGATGCTGGCGGGCAGCAGGGGCAGTGGGAGACTATCCCCACCAGAGCCCAAAGGCTTCTAAAGCCCCAGATGACGTTCAGGGAGCCTGCAGGCCTTTTCGCCACTGGCCACGTCGGTCTCCAATCTGCCCGGCAACAGCAGCGACGGTTAAACCTTCGTGCGCTTTTCGGGCTGTCAGGGGCGAAAAAGAG